CACTTGCGCCAAAGTGCGACGTGCCCGCCTCGGTGCCGCCCTCAGCTGCGTCGGGGGTGATAAAGTCGTTGCGGCTCTTGCCCCACTCCTTGGCGTAGGCGACTTTGATCGACGACGACTTTTTCGGCGGCTTGGCGCCGGGGACACTGCTTCGCGTCGCCTTGCCCGCTGCAGCGCTTTCGCGACAGTCGATGCCATGCAGCCTGTTGCGCGACTGGACGCCGTCGATGGAACGCAGCGCACGCACCGCGTCAAAGCACAGGCTGAAGCCCGACGCGGCGTGCTGCAGAACGAGCGAGTTGTGCGGAAACGCCATCTCGGGCGGTGGGATGCCGAGCACCTCCGAGAGCGCGTCCATCTCGGCAGATGATCCGATGGGCCCGCTGGTGACGCGCACGCTCCAGCCGCCCAGATCAATGCCGCGCGTCGTGGGCTGCAGCGACGGTGCGGTCGATGTGCCCGAGGGATGCGAGGACGACGGTGCCGAGGGTGCCCGTGCCGGCGTGTGCGACCAGGAAGTTGCGCCCGACATGTTAGAAATGCGCAGCGGTGGGGTGGTTGATTGGAGCCCCAGCACAACGATCAGAGTGGTCGTGAAGAAGAAGGCGTTGGATGGGCGAAAGAGGCATGTCAAGAGCTGGGTAACCTAAAAAAGGTGCACTTTTCCAGCAGAGTTGCTTCGTGCGCCCAGCGCGTCGTTTTGGCCGCCGCCTCGTCCGCTCGCCTCCACCCGCCCAATTCACAGAGCCTTCTCGTCTTTCAACACCAGAGCCAGAAGCACTGAAAAGACAGGGCACGACCAGCTCCCATCTCATGCCGGACATCAAGTGCATAGAGAGGCAATTGCGGATATGCGTGCGTGTGTGTGTAGTATACAAAAGTTGGACGGGAAGCTGGAAACACGAATGACGGTGCTTCAGGCTCACTTCTTGCCTGCTCTGCGCTTGATGTTGGCCTTGGCGCGCTCGAGCTGCTTCTGCTCGCTCCGTTCCACCTGGAGCGTGGACATGATCTTGTTGATCTTGTTCTTGTAGCTGCTGTCCTCGTCTGCCTGTTCCTGTCGGCGCACCTCGGCGATGAACTGGTTGTCGCGGCGCAGCTCGCGGATGGCGCCCTTGCGCTCCTTCTTGATGAGCGCCTTCATCTTTTGGATCTGCACGCGCTCCACGTCCGGGTCGAGCGCCGACTTGCGGTCCGGGTTGTAGCCCTGCTGGTCGAACTTGGGAACGTGCGAGGCGATCGCAATCGCCCGGTGCGCCTGCAGACGCAGGAAGCGGCGCGAAGACAAAGCCATCTTCAACTGTCGCACCAGTGTCGCACCGACCGTCGAACCCGATGTCGACGAGCTCGTCGAGATCAAAACAGACAGCGGTGTGAACAGCTCCACGTACGAAGTTGAGCCGGCGTACAGTGTGCTAAAGTCAGCCGTGAGGGCGAGGGCCACCGAGAGAAGCTCGGCTCGTTGGTGTGCATCCGCGTCTTGCTTCTTGGCGGTGATGAGGCTCGGCAGGTCCACGGGCTGTTGCGCTGCCTCGACGGCGCTGTCTTCCTCGAGACGCAAGTGCTGCGAGTGCTCAGCATCCACGTCCGGTGTCGGGATGCCATACTCCTCGGCCGCGGCGCGCACCTTGGCCAGCCCCTGCCTGTCCAGCGGGGCAAGGATGGCGATGGTAGAAAAGAGAAAGTTGAGTGCTTCGGGGAACAACCTTGCGCTCTCCTTCTCGTTGGAGACCACGAGCGAGCACAGGAAAAGTCCCGACGCCAGATCGCTCACGGAGCGGATGCGCGCATGACCCAGGTACTGCGCGACCAGCAGCGCCAGCGGCGTCGTCACAGCATGCTGCTTGTCCGAAGTCGGCCAGATGGTGCCCACCAACCTGAGCAGCGTCAGCTCCGCCAGCCCGGGCCAGGTGCGTGCGTCGGCATCGGTGGGACCCTTTGCCAGACCGCGCGAAAGGTTGCGCTGCATGAGCGCCAGCTTGCCCACAAAGTGCTCGGCCGCCGTGGCCGGGTAGCTCTGCGAGAGGCTGAAGATGTGCGGGATGAGAGAGTTGACAATCGCGAACGCTAGCTTGTGCTTCTCGCCCGTGTCGGCCTGGTGGGCCTGTGCCTGCCCAGCCCAGTGCAGGGCATGGTCGATGAGCACCCCGATGAGCGCCTGCAGACGGTACTTGTTGTCCTCGGCAAGACTCGCGTGGTGCAGAGTGCGGATGCGCTTGATCACGGTGGGGATGTTCTTGGGCTCGATCTCGTGCTTCTCCAGAAGGTTGAGCAGCTCGTCGTGCGTCGCAGGGCACGGAAACGTGAAGGGCAGTTTGGTGGCTGTGACAGGTGCCGACTTGGCCTTGGAGGAGGAGGAGCTGGCTTTGCTAACTTTGCTGGAAGACGCTGCCTGGGTACCGCCAGTAATCGCTTCGTGGTCGCCCTCCTGCTCCGACTCTTCGTCCTCGCCAATTTGGATGGCGTCGTCTGCATCCGCGAGGTCGGCGAAATCATCCTCGTCGTCATCATCGGCCTCGTCCTCTTCGGCAGAGCCCGAAGCAGCGGATTGCCCGTCGGCATCCTCCTCGTCGCTGTCATTCTCTGCGTCTTCGTCGTCATCCTCCTCTTCATCATCGCTTTCGTCGACAGTACCGCTCTCGGCAAGGCCGGCACCGAGGCCATACACCTCGCCAGCTGTGAAGCCGTCCAGCTCAAAGTCGTCATCGAGGTCGTCGGCCTGTGCGGCGCGCTTGGGTCCTGATGTCGAGCTTGCGCCCTTCTTGCGCTTGCGACGGCCACCTGTCTCGGCATCCTCGTCGTCACCTTCGTCGTCGCTGTCGCCGCGCATTCGCTTCAGACGCGCCTTCTCCGCCTTCATCAGACGCTGTGCTTCGTCGGCGGCGAGCTCCTCTTCGCTCTTGAGACGATCCTGTGGCTTGGCCCTGCGCTCAAAGGCAAGTTCGCGCACAAAGGTGTCGTACGAGCTGGCCGGCTTTTCGTCGCCTTCGACAGCGCTGGTACTGGCGCCCGCGACCGCAGTGGCGTTGGCTCCTGTGGCGGGCCCGGGGAAGACCGAGAGCTTGGCCTTGGCCTTGGGGTCGGCAGCTGGTGCTGGTGTTGGCACGGCCTGCTGCTCGTAAAGGAGGCCGCGGATGTCGGCGAGCTCGTCATCTAGCTGCTCTCGCAGCTCTTCATCGGCGTCCTTCATCTTCTGACGTTCGATCTTGTGGAATTTGGACTTGGCGATGACTTCGCGCATCACGTCCGCCTTGGACTTTTCGCCGTCCTCGTTCTCGCCGAAGCCGCCAAAATGATCTTGAGCCGTGAGCCGTCCTGGATCTGCAAGAAGGAAGCATGCCATGTGCGTTAGTACAATTATGCTCATCCTGCTCTGCTGGTGCGAGAACGTCTCGAGGATGAACGAGAACAAGGTCGACAGTGCGCTTGGGGTTGCCATCAGAAATCTCCAGTAGAATCTTTTGACCGTCATGGGTTGGCGCTTGTCAGCGCGCTTTTGTGTGTTGACTCCGGATCGTTTGTATCGCCAGTAGCAGATCATCATGCGGCAACCCGAGCGCGACTGTCGCCCCGAGCTTTTCGTTGAAAGGAAAGCACTTACCCTCTTCGTCGTCGTCTTCTGGGAGGCGGATGTCCGCGAGATCGTCGAGGCCACTGAGGGACTGTCCGTAGTGAGTGAGGACATCGTCGTCGTCGTTGAGGTTGAAGGCGGCTCCCTTGGCCGCCCTTCGCTGCTTTTCGGTGGCGAAACGCTCGAGCATCTTTTCTTCGGGAGTCATGTTGGCGTCATTCTCACCGAATCGGCGGTCGACAAAGGTGCTTGTGCGGTTGCGGCTCTGCAGCTCTGGCAGCAGAGCCTCTCTTCTCTGTGCGAGACCGCTAGCCTTGGCTGCGCCGGGTCGACCGACGGCGCCCTTGATCTTGCGACCGAGCACCTCATGCTTGGGCTTGGTCACCTTCTGGTCAAACGGGTTGAGTCCGGAGACGATCGAGCTGATCTTGTTGAGACGAGCCGCAGCAACGTCCTTCTCGTCCTGGCCTCCTTTGCGCGAGCGCGACTTTTTGGAGAGCTGACGACGGTCTGTGACGCCCGAGCTGTGGAGCTTGGACTTGAGCTGCGACAGCTGGGAGCCTCCGCCCTTGGCCATCTTGACTGTGATTCGAAGGGTGCTGGAGCTGTCAGGCGGTTGTGTGGCTATGTGCGCTCCGATACCAGCAACTCTCGAAGCGTGTAGAGACCCGGTGGGTTGAGAAAGGAGAGGGAGAGGGGGTATATGGTGTGTTGGTGGAATGGAAGAAGGCGAGCAACAGCTTCGCACCAACCTCAGCCAACTTCAGGGTCGTTCTTGACAAAAATTTCGCCGCTGCCACTCCACGCCAGAAGAAAAGAGAAATGGAGAAAAATCAAAAACAATTGGGCTCAAAATCATACAAAAATCGCAGTGGAGGAGGCTTTCTCGACAGCATTTTCTGCCACCTTTTTCGAAAACGAAAAAAAAAGGTTGGACCCCATATCGCAGAGGTGGAGGCCCGATGGCCCGATAGGGCCGTGTCGGCTCCGAGTTGAGTCGACCAGGGCGGAAAGCCGAAATGGCCTCAACGCGGCGAACGGCACTTCCACTCGTATACGCCGTCCTTCGTGCTCCAACACTTCTACTTCGTCCAACGCTTAGCAACACAACACAGGCCACGATGAGCGGTGCAGGTAGGTACAACAATACGCACACACACACGCACACACACACACCAGTTCGCTCGCATCAGCAACGACGCAGTTCTCGTTGCCGTTTCGAATGTTCGGCACACGCAACACGGCTGATGATGCTCACGCTTTGTGTCTTTACCCTTTGCGACTGGCAACTCTCGACGTGTCGTCGTTTCTTTCGATCAACTTGCAACGTCCACTCTCGATACGTGATCGTCCTTTGATGACGATGATCTCCGACCCGCCAGTTCCCTACCGACAGTACGTACTCGATCTTTCTATGGGCTCGCCGCGAGCTTGCCGGCTCGTGTGCACTCACCCTCGGACGACATGTGGACATGATCGCTTATGCTGCCTCCTCCAATCTTGATTCGACGCGGTCTTCTAATCACACAGGGATCTCCCTCCCTCCGGAGGCTACCAGCCCATCCGATACAAGCGCAACCTGCCCGGCAAGAACCTTTCGGGTCTCACCATCTTTGGCGGTGTGATTGCCATCTGCGCATACGGATTCTACAAGGTCGGCCAGGGCAACCTCGAGCAACGGTAAGTCGACGCCACAAGCGACGATGTCCTGCGACGGCATCTTGAAGTAACCTTTGTTGAAGCGCGCAACCTGCTGACATTCGCTTCCAACCACCGATCCACTCGTGATTCTTGCGTTGTGACCCGAACAGAGAGCTCAAGAGGGAGCGTGCGTGGTCGCGAATCCACCTGATCCCTCTGCTCATGGCCGAGTCCGACAGGGATGCTTTCCGACGAAGCGAGGCCCAGCTGGCACGAGAGAAGGAGATCATGAAGGACGTGCCCGGCTGGGAGGCAGGCAAGTCGGTCTACAACACCAAGCGCTACACCCCTCCCAACTTTGTTGTCCTCTAGACATGGCGCATCACTCGCTGCTATCACTACCACGCAGCTCACGCTCGGCCATAAAAACCTATTTCCCACATCTATCGATGCAGCATCGGTTGCAGTCGTTGCGCGTGCGTCTGCGGGTTCTTCTTCGTCAACCTACTGTTCTGGTGTGCGAACAAGGCGAGCTGTTATGCTTGCTCTGCGCAGGCCTTTGGCTCTGTACCGAAAGAGTGCAGCGCGATTGCATGAGAACGTACGTGAAAGGCCCTGACGCACTCAGATCAGTAGTAGCTCCGCAGGAACCAGCTCGCATTGGCACCAAACCACCCCCGTCGCGCTCATGCACCCTCCAGTCTCGACCTGCAGCGCCGCCATTGGCAACCACTGCTTCATCTGTGGACGCTGCAGCCGTTCAAGGCATCAAAAAAGAAGCCTCAGACTCATCCTTCCCCGTAGAACAGCAACAAATAGAGACAAAAAAAAGAATGGTGACAAGAG